AAGATTTGTCACTCAAATAGTTTTAATAAAATGCTGATTGGCCAGTAGCCAGGCCGGAAGTATAGGCGGGGTGACCAAACTAAGGATGATGGGAAGGAGAAGGGCGGAGTCAGGAGCCGTCAGTCAGATGTAGAGGGAACAGGAGACGAACGTGCCATGCTAATAAAGGCATTGCCACGTGGCGGAGCGTAAGTAAGGATTATGGGTTAACTTAAAATGTAAGAGCTAGCTAGTTATGAGCCGGAGCTATCAGCTGAGCATTTATAATTAATATTTAGCCTCTGAGTCGTTTATCTGGGACAGGATGGTCGGGACTGGAAATGTCCGATTACACTATGTAGGGTCAGTGGGCTTCTCTAGTTAACCGTCAACCAATGGCAGGCAGTCTGACTTTCTATCATAAAGTTGGTGTCTCATACTAGGAGACAGAGAGGGACCACCAGCTGTGGCTTTAATTATTTGGCTCATGAAGACTTTTGACTGGTCACCAGCATCATTTTTTAATAATTTTTCATTTGAATTAGAAACAAGATTGTTTTACATGTCAATCCCAGTTCCCTTCTCCCTCCCATCCTCCCCTGCCACCCCCAACTAAAACCCTGCCTATCACATATCTTTTCTTCTATTCTTCCCCTGACTCAACCTTTCTGCTCCCTCATGACCTCTGCATCCTTCCTCTTCTCCCCTTCTCATTCTCCTAGCTCCCTCCCCCCTCTTCCCGTGCTCTCAATTTGCTCAGGGGATCTTGACCCTTTCCCCTTCTCCAGGGGACCATGTATGTCTCTCTTAGGGTCCTCCTTGTTTCCTAGCTTCACTGGCAGTGTGGATTGTAGGCTGGTAATCCTTTACTCTATGTCTAAAATCCGCATATGAGTGAGTACATATCATGTTTGTCTTTTTGTGATTGGGTTACCTCACTCAGAATGGTTTCTTCGAGTTCCATCCATTTTCCTGCAAATTTCAAGATTCCATTGTATTTTTCCGCTGAGTAGTACTCCATTGTGTAAATGTACCACATTTTCTCTATCCATTCTTCAGTTGAGGGGCATCTAGGCTGCTTCCAGGTTCTGGCTATTACAAATAGTGCTGCTATGAACATGGTTGAACAGATGTCCTTGTTGTATGAATGTGCGTCTTTTGGGTATATGCCTAGGAGTGGAATTGCTGGATCTTGTGGTAGACCGATTCCCATTTTCTTGAGGAGTCGCCATACTGATTTCCAAAGTGGCTGCACCAGTGTGCACCAGCATCTTTAGTCCCCACCCCACCCTCATTTCTAGGGTACTTTTCATTTCCTCCCCTTTTTTGTCATGAGACTTAGCTTTAAGTGCCACCTTTCAGGGGCCTTGCTGAGTTGTGCATACCTGTGATCCCAGCAGGGCAGATGCAGGATCTTGAGTTGGAAGCCAGCCTTGGCTATGTAGTGAAACCTTGTCTCAAGAAAAAGAAAACTTAACCCTTTCAAGCAAAAGCAGAACATTGGGCAAGGGACCCTGCTCTTGGGGCATAGATTGGATAGCTTGCATTTGAATCTGTAGTCCAGCTCATGGTTGGTTCCTTCTGTCTTGCCTTAACTCTGACCAAACAAGTGTGACTCCATCTTACCACCTCAGCCCAGTTGTTCATATCTACCTTTCTCTCCTTCTGGACCCAGAACATTCCAGAGAAAGATGATGATAGAGATGGAGCCCCTTGCTCCTGTTTGCTGGGGTCTGGTGTGAGATCCAGGCAACATTTGGGAAGCCCCCTCTTTTCCAATCTGAAGGACCCAATAGTGGCTCTGGAGGAGACGCTATACCCCAACTTCCAGGCATCGCCTTAGACTGTGCCACCCCTCTACACACCAGTGAGAACCAGCCACACCCCCAACCCCGGCCAAGTACCGTGGAAGGAGCCATTTGGCCACAGAAATGTTCCCTGGGGGTGCTGGGAATGACAGTCAGTACCTGTAACCAGTGGGAATTTCTTCAAGGAAGCCAAGAATGCCTGGAGCTGATCAGGACATCCATCCTCCAAGAAAGCCTTAACTTCATCATCTCTGGGGGCATGTGTCTCCCAGACCATCTTGGTCTGCTGGGTGGAGGGCACAGCCATTGCCCACGTGAGAATCTTCTGGTCAAACACAAGGGAGTCCTGCCCATCATAGCCAAAGCGCCAGAAGCCTCCAGTGCTCCTGTTTCTCTGAAGCTCACAGCCCAAGGTTTCCTGGAGGGTGTGAAAGCCTGGCCCATCCCAGGCAGGGACCTGTCACCCTGTTGTCCCTTGACCTTAGCTCCCCTGAAGCTTCGGTCTAAAAGAGACTAACCAGCGCTCTGCCCCATGGAAGCATTTTTGCTTTATTCCACTAAGTCTGGCCAGGCCCCGCCCAGAATCAGGGCTTAAGGATCACAGAAGGGTTCTGTGTACCCCTTGGCTCTGCGCACTCACCCTCGTTATGGCCCTGCTGGTTTGTGAGCACAGCCAGCATTCTCCTGAGTTGCTCCTCCTTCTTCTGAAGGAGGTTCTCAGTTTCTCTTGTCCAGGTCTCAGCTCCTGCATGTCCCTTGATCCTGGGCCCACAGGGCCCTGCTTGTCTGCTGTCCCCCTTGTAGCATAGGAAGAGCTCATCATCCACGTATATCAGGATTCGGACTGGAGGCTGCCCAGAGTCTTCCGGAGACACGGCTGTGAGTTCATAGCGCAGTGTGTGGGTTTCTGAGGGAGGGAGAGACAGTAACACAGCTGAGACATTGGTGGCTTCCACCGTCAGCTCTGCCTTGAGGGACTGAACGCAATCTGTGCTGTGTGAGTGTAAGACGCCAGTGGAGTGCTTTGTTAGAGCATGAAAGAGGAAAGGAGGGAGCTGCTAGGAGTGGGCGATCAGGAAATTCGGTCTCCTCACCAAGGGTTTGAGAGTGGAGAGTGGAAATACACATGGGTTCTAATTGGGTCCTTTGAGTCACAGTGTTTCATACAACTATTGAGATGTTTGTTAGGTCCAGTAGGTGCAAAATATCCTGAGAAACAGCTCTGCAACTTATTCCTAAATAATGACCCATAGATGTTGGAAATTTGAAACTCATAGAAACTAATGGAAACAGAGCCAATGCCAAAGGGGGAATAATAAAATCCCTGTCAGTTAGTTTTCAAGATGGAATACAGCAATGTATTGCTTGGGTTGGGGTGGAAGTGTGGCACGGGCCTTTAATCTCAGCCCAAGAGAGGCAGAGGCAGGCAGATCTCTGAGTTCGAGGCCAGCCTGGTTTATAGAGC